CCCCCTGGCAACGAAGCAATTAGTAAGTAATTGAAAAGATCTTCATTTTGTTTTCAGAAATATCCTGAAATTTTATTTCTTCAGGTAAAATAGTTTAAAAATCACAAACCTGAACGGGAGATTGGAGAAGACTGAAGACAAATCCCACGATCTTCTCAGTGACGGAGCATGAAGGAGGAGGTCCCTTGGGGCGAACGACCATAGTCCGGCGAGTCCGTAGTCTGGTCTCTACCCGGATGTTGTCCGGGGAAGAAAATGAATCTCTGGGGAGGCGATGAGGAACAAAGTTGCAGATGCCTCATTTACAAAGTAATACTCCGAGCCGTCTAACAACGTGAATTTACGAATTTAATACTCTGATGACTCTCTGGGGAGGCGATGAGGAACGAAAGTGAATTTAAGAATTTAATAATTAATTTACATGAATTTTGGAAACTAACCTTATTCTTGAATCGTCTAACACTCCGAGCCGAATTAGGGATTCTCTCAATCTTGAACAATTGAAGACTTTCCCTTTGCAAATTAGTCATCGACCCAAGAAATTAATTGATTTCTGCGAAGGATACTTGGAGAAGAAGATATGGCGAAGAACAGAAAAACCTATTCTCAGTGCAAAGGGATAGGTTTTGTGGTAAAGACTAACAGGTCCTACTATTTTCAAAAATATACTCTCAGGGTACCCAAATTAAGGGTTTAATGTCCAATGAGGGACTTTTCATCCAAAGGCACGTTAAGCATACAATCTCCGTTAATTTCTTTCTAAAAACAGTAAAGTGCCATTTATAACCTTGCCATTTAGAAGTTCTTCGTTTTCAGAAGTCAAGAACGCAGCAACAGTGGGATAGGGTTTTTCTCTTTGTGTTCAGGTAAGTGAATCCATTATCTTCTTGTTCATGAAATCTGTTTTTCCATGTTCTTGGTCTTCGTGTTTGTGGTTTGAGGTGGAATTATGAGATTTTGATTTTCCCCAATTGGTTTCATACGAAATTGTCATGTGCAAGAACTGAAGTAAACAACTACGTAGTATTTATTTAGCAATGGCTTCAAACATGTATGTAATTGATTCCTAAATTGAAGATGACCATCAATTAATTCAGTTATGATTACTTTTTTATGTTTCTTGGGGGGTCTAGTTCTGGCAGTGTGCTTGTCCCCCACATACATGGGTTTGGAATATGGTGTATACGGGGTAGTCGGTGGACAAAGAAGAAAAGGAGAAAAGAAATCAGAGCTGCGCTGAGGAGGAATTATTACAGAGTACGTATAGCCGACCGAGAGAAGGGAAGGAGAGGACAGAACCGAGGGGCCGCCGATGTTATTCTGGTGCCGTACAGACTACAACGCGAAAATGAACAAAGTTATAAGGAATTGAGGGAAAGTGAACTCTCACCATTTTTGAGCAGGCAAACGATCGTGAAGAAGGATAATGACGACAAACCAAAAGGAGAAGCACAGCATGCCGTTTGGGAGAAGATGAGTCTGCAAAAACAAAAAACAACCTTTTTGGGAAATAATGAAGGGTATATAAGTCATTTACATAGACTTAACGGACTTTGGATGAAAAGTCCCTCATTGGACATTAAATCCTTAATTTGGGTACCCTGAGAGTACATTTTAAAAAATAGTAGGACCTGGTAGTCTTTACCACAAAACCTAGGGTACCCACCAGCAGTTTTTTGATTCTCAGTGCGTCAAATGAAGGGCTGTGCGCAGAGGAATCCTAAGAGCAACTCCAACGGACGGGGAGTTTAAAATTGAGTATATGCTAAAAAGGGAAAGATTTGCCCTTTACTGTTCAATAAAAATGTCTCCAATGCATCCGTTAAAAAATACACCCTAATCTATTTCTGCATTCTCATATGCTAAAAATAGATGGTACTGTAGGAATGTGGAAAAGCCTATCTGCTCGTCTCCTTCTACCTCCCCCTACACTAGGGATCTAAACAAATCAAATATTTTAAATTCGATTCGCGATTTGTATTCGAATATGATGATTCGAATTCGCATTATTCAAATACAAATTCAAATTCAAATATTATTTTTGATTCGAATATTAATCAAATACAAATACAAATAAGGATATATTCGATTCGGATGATATTCAAATATTCGAATATATGTATATATTGTGTCTGGTACAAAAGTTGTAGTTTTCAGTTCGTTTCATTATATCATATTTCACATAAATTTTATGATTCTTAAGTTATTTAATTGCATTGTGCTTTTAGATTTCGTATACTAAAAATTATCAATATAAAATATTTTATATTAAACACATTCTACGTCTACATAATTACAAAAATTATACGGAATATAGTATAGTATACAGAGTATCGTAAGTTAAATTACAAATTGATGTTGGTCCATCATATAAATTACATAGTATGATTATTCAAATATTCGTTTATGATTCGATAACTATTCGAATATTAATCATATACTTATTCAAATCTTATTTTGAATTCGTCTCATATTCGGATTCGGATTCGTATTCGAAAAAATTAAACAAATACAAATTCAAATATATCGGTATTCGCTTCGATTCGGTTCGTTTACACCCCTACCCAACACTAGAAGTCACGGATTTGGGGAGCACTTATGGAGTTGGGTTCTTTTGTTTTGATGTTGCCAAGTGCGCCTCCCATTCATGTGAATTTACTTTTGATATTGCAAAGCTAAGCAATCTTTTTTTGTGGATTTTGTTCGTAGATTTGAAAATTTTGTTGTTTCGATCAAAAATCCAAATTTTTTCTCAATTTGCAATTCAATTATTTTAGAAGATTACAATTTTTTTGTTGATTTTGCTGGTAGAGTACAAATTATACCATTAATTAAATATTAAAATAATAAAATATTATAAAAGTGTATTATATACGGAGTAAAAGATATGATTGGAGTGAGTGTAAAAAAATGAATTGCTAAAACACTGTTGGAAAGCTAAAAAGACAAATAGAAGACCAAAAAATAGCTCTCCCCTTGGAGATGCTCTAAGGTGTCAAAATAGCCAAATTTTGGTACGGAGTACTTTATACGGAGTACTCTACTCAGTATAATTAATGTAATGGAAATACATTTGTATCAATATGTACTACCATCTTTTTTTAAATATATACTCCCTCCGTCCCATTTTAAATTGTCTGTTTGTCTTTTTTCTCCGTGCCAAAATAAATTGCATGTTAGTTGTTTTCGTAAACTATTAAAAATAAAATACCTAAACTACCCTTAAAATTAGTCATTCTCTTTCACCTTATCTTCTCATTCATCATTATCCTCTTAAAAAATAATGTCAATTTTGAAAAAACAACTCTATTTTTTATTTTCCTTAAATATATCCAAAAGTCAAAACGGGCAATTTAAATTGGGACGGAGGGAGTATATTATACTTACTCCCTTCATGAGTTTTCTAATTGCAATTTTGACTTTTATCAATCGTAATTGGTACTCTTTACCTCAAATTAAAATATACTCCGTATATAGTAGATATTGTTACAATAATTGTGTTATTGGATTTATTACATTTAATATTTTCAAAATATTATTTATTTTATTAATATACAGTATATATTTTATTTAAGTATAGGTGAAACGTTGAAAACAACCGACCGAAAAGAGTCAAAACTGGTTAAAAGTCAAAATTAGAGAAATATTTAGACGGAGAGACTAAAAATTTGAGTTCTTATGAAATTTATATCATACTCCTTCCGTTCATGAGTGTTTCCTAAATAATATTTGACTTTTTTCAGACATAATTGGTAAATTTTGAAATACCATTAAAAAAAATGATGTCTGATATTGTTACGTAAATGTTTTATTAGATATATTATATCAAATATTTTTAAAATAATATTTATCTCATTAATATACATTATATTTTCATGTAATTATTGTCAAAGGTTGAAGATGGTTGACTGAAAAAAGTCAAAATTACATAAAACCCAAAATTAGTGAAATATTCCTAGGAGAGTGTAAAAGTTTGAATTCTTATGAAATTCAAATTATACTCCCTCCGTTCATGAGTTTTTCCTAAATCACATTTGTCTTTTTAGGACTTAATTGGTACATAAATGGCTTTATTGGGTTTATTACATCAAATTTTATAAATGTTATATGTTTTCTTATTTTTCTAAAAAATATCATTCATTAATTGTTTACATGTCACATATGAAAAAATTAGTATTTAGTAATTATTTAGTGTGGGATCTTATGCGTCTATTTTATTTAGTGTATTATTTTTGAATTTAGAAATAAAAAGGATAAGTAAAAAAGCCAAGTTTTTTAAACAAATACTGTTTATTTCTTAAAAAACTACCAAGTACGTATGGAAGTTTTTAGGTCTTTACATGTTTAAAAGTTTTGCTCCTAATTGTAATTATTAAACATATTTTTTTAGCTCGTTGAACCAAAACAATCAATATTAGTACCTCCATTAGTAATTTCTTTAAGATATACTTATATTGAATGGTATGATTTATTCAATATAATAATATACTCCGTCAAAGTATAGAATATGAGTGTAACATTAATGAATATTATGAACTATCATCCTATTCTAAAAAGCAGGGGAAATTGCCCCAGCCATTTTCCCGCCCAATTGCACACGCATTGTAATCCGTCGATTAGCATTAACATCTTGATCAACGCATGCTATTGGTCTTTGAAAATAAATCAATGTTTCCATATATAATTGTGCAATCAACAAATAATAAGAATAAAAATAACATTTCCATAAATAATTGTGCTTTCAATATATAATGATTACCTTATATAGCCGTTGTATAATATTAATTTAATTATGTAAAAAGTTTTAAAACTTTTAAAAATTGTGCACTTGAGCTTTCAATTTTACGGTAATATATGTAATGTTTGTACCACATCGTATCTTCATATATAGTTATACAATAATATAATATATATAAATATTATTTATTGTTCATATATAAAATTTTGGGAAACAGATTAAAGTAGGAGTAAAACATTGAAAATATACCAAAATAAGATTTCCATGTTTTTATTCCTGAAATATGAGTTAAAATGCATTTACATTACCAAACATGACCATGTAGATTACCAAAAAATATAGTAATATGCACGTGTTATAGTGCCACGTACATTACCTCTATATTACCAATGAACTCTTATTTTGATAATAAAAATATGCAAATACTAATATTGTTAATATTATTAATACCATTTTTTTTAAAAAAAAATTATTAATACCCCATTAATATGGGCTTATATGGTAAGACATTACCCGAATTAAAATGTAAAACATTATTGCACCCTAATAGTGTGCCGTGGCAATTTTGGCATGGTGTCGTTATTACCTTTTGGTAAGACATAATTACCTTTTAATATCCATGAAATTTTTAGGAGTTAATGAACTTTTGTTTATTAATTTTATTTACAATACATTATTATCTTTTAAAGAGAAAATAAATTCTTGATCAATGATTAACTATTTTATGGCAATATATTATTTTTTGTTAGGCATGTATTACGTTGCAATAGTACTAAAAAATTTAAGCTAAAAACGGTAATAATTTAAATAACACGTAAATAGCATTTAATATAATTATGGAACAATTTTTTAATCATTATTACCTTATATAGCTTTTATATAATGTCAATTAATTCAGACAAACTTTTTTATACTCCCTCCGTCCGAAAATATTCTTCCCACTTTTCTTTTTGGTCCGTCCGGAAATATTCTTCCCATTTCTTTTTTAGTATACTTTTTAAGGATAAATATCAATAATACCCTTCTATTTTATCACAAATATACTTTTTTAGTACTTTTTTAATAATAAAAGGAGATTTAAAAGTTTATAGTATGTGCATTTTTGAAAAATTTGCATTTTTTTTACTATTCCTTTATAAGCGTGCCAAGTCAACACGGGAAAAATATTTCCGGACGGAGGGAGTAGCTTTTAAAAAATTTACGTTTGAGCTTTCAATTTTACGTTAATGTATTACCTTTTATAACGGTAATAAACTTTTGTTCATTAAATTCACTTACAGTACAATATTACCTTTTAAAGTGAAAATGAACTTTTATGATCTTTTATGAAAATGCCGGTAATATACATTAATAAACTAAATATAAATAATAAAAATAAATAATGTGAATTTATTAATTTTTATATAATTAATTTAAATTCTTACCTTTTGTGGAAATATATTATTTTTGGTTAAAATAATAATAAAAACAATAAGATAAAGATGGTAAGAATAATAACAAATATTGAAAGATGAATACCATACATTGTCTATACTATATTTAAAAAGAGGAGGAAATTTTTTTCCTACCTAAACGTGAGAGAAAAACATAGAAAGTTTTTTGCATGTTACTTTATTGCATTTATTCTAATCATTAATACCGGTAAGTATTACTTAATAAGTACTCCCTCCATTCCCCTAAGATGTTCTCATTTTGAATTCTTGTGGTTTTTAAGGAGAGTTGAAAAAAGGTGAAATTTACCATAATACCCTTAATGAAAAAGGGTGAAGTGTATAAAATGAGGTGAGTGAGGTGTAATAAATAAAGAAAGTGATGGTAGTTGTGGTAGGATAATTATATTTTCTAATCTAAATACAAAAATAAGAAAATAAAAATTCCGACATCAATAAAGAAATTATTTTTTCTACATATTGGTAAGTATTTATTAATAATCACTACGTTTTCTTTTTTTGGTTAGGATGATAAAAAAGTATATTCTATAATTCTATGTTATCATTTTACTAAAATGCTAGCTTGATTAATATTTCTAATCTTAGTACAAGAATATTGGTAAACATTAATTAATAATTAATATGTTTCCATTTTGGTTGGGAGGATATAAAAAATATAATGGTAAGCATTAACTAAAAATTATTATGTTTACGTTTTTGGCTGAGATGATATAAAAAATATATAGCGTATATCTAAGCTACCATTTTTATAAAAATTCTAGGATGATTATTATTTCTAATCTAAAAACGAAAATAAAAATAAAAAATTCCAAAATAAATAAAGAAATAATTCTTTTTGTACATATTGGTAAGAATTAATTAAGAATGATAAGAGTTTATCATGTCCCAGTCCATGTTACCTAAATCCTTGGAGATAATTTTTCATGATCCATATGTTAATTGTTTAATTAAAATTAATCTAAAATATGTATACATTCACAACTTTGTAATGATGCTAATATGTACTTTTTTCACTTGTACTGTCAGAGATATCAAATATATGAGTAGATCAGGTACTTGAATAAACACATTTTCAAAGATAAATTGAAAAAAGATAGTGTTTATTTACGGATGAGAGTCAAAGTACGATGCAATGAAAACTACCAACTACCCTTTCATTCTTCAATTCTTTTGCAGGACGAAATTTCAAGAGATTTTGCGAAACAGATTCTCAAACTTCTGTTACAAATTTATGAGATTTGAAAAAATTCACATATTGATCGGCTTTTGGTAGTAATGTGCTATTAATTGATAAGCCCCACTTAGATTATTATTATTTATTAATTTTCTTACTCATATTTATAATGTATTCGAATAATCATGAAAGCATATTACGGAAGTTACATTGGAAATTATATATCATTAGTTTAAACTCACCAAAACCTGTGTGGTAAAATAGACACCAAAGCATATTACGGAAGTTACATTGGAGGACCATAAGTATGTGAAAGTTTATATTCTAAAAATTATGCATTTTTATTTGATTCAAAAACAATTACCTGAATAATTGCCTCTTTTTTTCTAAAAAAATTATATAATGTATTCGAATAATCATGAATTGCCTATTTCAAAATTTGTAAACCAATTATATTTTGTGCCTTAAATATAATAAAATCTCTATATTTCATTATATATCAATTTGTATATTTCAAATATCATGTTAATATAATTAACGTAAATATGAACCGTGCAACGCACGGGTGAGATACTAGTATAACAAGTCAAAGTATAAAATATGAGTGTAATGCCATTGAACTGAGTATAAATTATTCAAACATGCAATCTTATTTAAAAAAACAAAATGAATGAAAATTTCAAATTTTTAATTTCAAACACCAAAGTCATCAAAAATGATAAATTATAAAATGTCTAACACGTAAATCAAATCCCAAAAACTAAATAGTACTCCATCTAACTTAATACTTCTAGTCTTAAATTTTCTCAATCTTAATGGTCTTCATCTTCTTGCTCGGTTCATGACCGTCTGCATAGTCAGATTCAACCTCTTCGATTCTTTTGCCAATATTAGAGTCGGTGATATCATCTCCTAGTCGTTCAAATTGATTATCCTTTGATTGCACAACATCTTCAATCAAATTCTGTAAGACAAAGAACCAAGAATTTAATGCAAGATACATAACAAATCAGAAATGTATTGAACTAAAATGTGACCTCCAATGATGATGTATTATTGCTTTCGGAAATCGTGCAGAATTTGGTTTTAGGTTGGAACATTTCTATTTACTACAAAGCATTTATTTCTGTGTGACTTTTGCTAAACCGAGCAAATCAATGGTCATAGTATAAACTTTTTCCTATCAACTCACATATGCCATGCCAAAAAATTAAAAAATTGAGCAAAGTTAAATTACTTGTGCATTTTTTTAGAGTCCTAACCTTGACACATGATAATGCCTCGCCCATGGAGAAGGTATGCTGTGATGATTTTTCTCCAGTTCAAAGTCCCAAAGTCACATCAGTCTATTAATAATAATTTACCCATTAAGCATTTTATTTGCATCTTAAAATTATGTCTTATTAGTAACAAAACAAAATTTCCACTAAGTGATATTTACATTCGATTAATAATGTTCACAAACCTGGACGGAGAAAAATGCTGCATGCCTTTTCTTGAATCGCGAGATTGTTCTTTCATCAAAACAAATGTCAATGACATTATAGGTAGGATCAAAGTCATTGAACTGAGAAAGCCTAACATCAACTTCAAAAAGATACGACTTATCTTTCAAGAGTCTATTAAAGACATCGGGTTTTATGTCTCCACTCGGCAGATTCTGTATGAACAATTACATTAACCATTAGTAAGTAAAGCAAGCAGCAAGAACCAATGTTATATGTCTCAATGTTTTCATTTTGTATTTATAACATATTGCAGGGCAAGTCCAAATTTAAGGGCAGACAGTTTCAGACAGTACAGAGGAGCATACTACTGAATTTTTTTTATTTCCATGAATGTCTTTAAACCTGAGAAGAAGCTGCCATTCTAAACCATCATTTTAAATGATCAGGAGGAAAAAGAAAAATCCAGGTGCAGTATTATTCAGGCAGTGCATCTCTCATTGTTGTGTAAGTTTCACATTACCTAATAGGTTATTTAGTCGTGCATGTTTAAACTTTGGTAAATACATTTCTATGCATCCCACCAAGTTGTGTTGTCGTTGTTGTATTTATAAAATGTTTAATTGCAGAGCCCTCAGACAGTTACAAAAAAAATCAAGAATAGAAGATTTAAGACAATGCGGTCTTGGTATTGATTATAGTGTATGCTTAAAAATGCTTAAAGAAGATGTAGGACATGGAAAATTTCACAGAAGAGTTCACTTTAGATAGGGCACAAATGCCTCTACTAAACCAAGAGCAGGAGAGGTTTGACAGTTCCAAAAAAAACCAAGAGCAGATGAGGTCAAACCGTGTAACGTGAGTGTGGTCTTTGATAAAAAATCACCTTTTCATAAAATCAGAGGGCTCATAACTTGTTCAATTTATAGTATTTGCTTAAGAAAAATTCAGCCTATGACAAATCAAGAAACATAAAGTCAGATGTCATTGTTCTGTCCATCTATTCAAGACCAATTATGAGACAGTGCAGGTTTCTATTCTGTCTATCTTTTCCTTTGAAGAACTACGGAGTTTAAAATAGTTCAATAAATCATGACGATGAATACCTCTACATGTGTCAAAGAATTTAAATCTGGTTTTAAAACAGGTGTAAGATGAGCTGTTATAATCACATATTTATCCATACCTCAGAATATTTCAACATCTCCGAACATGATTTATGGAGCAGCAAGCATGCAACGCTTTCAAGTACTACGAAAGTAGCACTGTCCGTGGTGTCAACAACTCTTGTCTTGATTCGATACCTGAATCATAATTGTTTTTCAGGAGTCAATTAATAAAAATTGTTGACATAAAGCATTAAGCATTGGAAATTAGTAAAAACCAAACCTTGGGATCAGATTCATCACTCGTCTCTTACACTCATTACAATAGTAGGATCCACCGCGTGGGACCACTTCGGACCCACACCTACACACTGTTATAAACCAATCAGAATCAACATCCTTGATCGTATCGTATACTGCATATTCACCGTCCTACATATCAAAACACATTTAAGTCACTACATTACCCGTAAAGTTAGGCACGCGTGTTAAGTGTAATATACTCATCTAACCTCAATACAATCTTTCAATGTCTCTATTGTTGCAGCCTTAGTAAGTTTAAGAAAGTCCTCATCCACTGAATAAAGTAGCCCATGATTCATTGAGGTATTTTTTATATCATGGGGCGAAACACCTTCTAAATATTGAGTCAGGGTTGTTGCATCATGACACACTTTTGATACCCTGAAAGATTGTTCTAAACGTCCTCTGAACATCGACTTGACTTCGACCTTAAATAGGAAACTCTTACCCATCAAAAAATCAGCAAACTCTTTTGGACTTTCAGTACTTCCTTCCTTCAATTGGTGTAAAATAAGAGTCATTAACTGTTCTAGGATTAAATAACTGAAATACGTAAAATATATTAAACAAAGTACACATACACTATCTGTCTTTTCCAGCAAAAGGGAGCATGACGTATTTAAAATCGAAGCGGCTTCATGGTCAAATAACACAAAGATAGCTGAACCGGAATCATCTCTAACAGATAGCTTGATTAGATATCTGAATAAAAATCACATTTAGTACACTATGCAGCAGAAAATAAAAGTTAATGTCAGGAAAGTCAGAGTATGATAAACTTAACCTTGGGGTGACATTCATAACATGACACCCACAATACATGCAATAGTACATGGTACCATCAGGTCTCACAGCCCTATTACACTTGCAAGCCAAATAAAACCAATCCCAAGTATTGTTCACAGAAACAACAGTGGCGTACACTATATAGGTACCATCTTGGTAGAATAGAAATCATACATTAGCGTATGGGCGAAATCACCACAATAATAAACATTTAAAGTTGGAGGATGTTATATTTAAAAACATATCATCAATACCTCACTACCATCCTTCGGCAAAGAGATTGTCGTCATTCGTGTGGCATCCAAAAATTCATTTTGATGCACAACTGTCACGTCATCACAGGGCAACTCAAGAGGTCGACGGTTCGTTGGCACACCAACAATCCTTAAGCAAATGAGACATTTGTGCATAGTTAGCGAGTGAAAAACAGACACATATTTACGGTAGTCGGTAAGTCTCAAGGTCTGAATTTTTATACCTTTGTCTGAATGCAACAACCTCTTCTATTTCAGGATTTAACAGGAGATGCGTTCCGTACATGACATTCTGCAAATTTATATTTCCTGCAAATATTCCACACGGGTAGTTTTAAATTAAAATTAACACAAAAGATGACGATAAGGTTTCCATAAAATAATCAACATAATGTTTTTAGTATATAACCATTTGTAGTACCTTGATACGTTTTCACCTTTCCATACTGAATCACAATGATCACATTTTCCAATGGTTGTCTCCCAAAGAAGCTTTTGATCTTGTCAACGTACTCCCCAAACAGTGTTATATCTAACGTCACCCTGAATCACCAAGTAAAAAGAAAAGAATAAATTAATCTTGTATAGATGTTATATTCATATTGTCGTTGCTACAAAGTTATGATAAAATAAAGTACCCATCCGCTTCTAACTGAATCACCCATCCGCTTCTAACTGAATCACAATCATCTTTGTCCTTTTGGACTCTTTAACAATTTCTTTTTGCTTGCCCACAGCAATTAGGACCCCCATAGTGTCTGATAAAAGAAAAAATGTGAGATATAATCATAAACTTATTGGAGTAAATTAAATTTTGGATAAGTGAGTGATTTATTACCAACTAAATACGGGTAGTTTGAGTCTGCCTGCAATATTTCTAAAATAGTAGTCAACTTAAGACCATGCACAGGTATTCTCTCACAGCTACATGCGGTTACAGTGGTTCTTGGTTGGAAATTCAGCCTGAACTCATGTCGAGAGGTCCGATAATTCCCACTACTAATGCCGATGCCAAAATAGGCAAAGACATACACAGACCCTTCCTTTATTCGCTTCTCAAAAGTTCCAACCAAACTTCTCCGGACAGTGGCATGTACCATAGTTCCCTACATTTGTTTGTTCAAATTAAACATCATAAAAAATCAGCAACAACATATCCTCTTAGGAAACAACAATAAATCTAAATATAATTTAAAAAAACAACAAAACATCTGAATCATACACTAAGCAAACACAGTAGAAGCAAACTGATGGTAGAGACTGCTTAGTGAAATATCAGGTTTGGAAAAGTAGCCACACTAAGAATATGCCACACTAAGAATATGCCAATAATGCCACTAACAAAAAAAGCCAAACTGCTTTCATATGCCAGGTTTATAATTCATAAAAAAACAAATAGAACCACACTAAAAATATGCCAGTAATACTACACGGAAAAACATGTATAGAATAATAGAACTCATATACTGTATAACAAAAAATGAGAAGGAATATGATGAATCAAGAGAAGGTGACATACATGTTCATCCATGAACACCATTTCAATGGAATTTGTAGTCCTCTCATCATTATAAGCGGGTAAAGTATACAATCGTACGACACGAACCATGATCCTCCAACATTAACTGCTTGGAGTGATAGTGGATGGATGGTCATTGTCACGGATTGAACGAAAAAACAAAAAGGAATATGAATCTCAGAATCTCAGAAAATAGTATGCGTAAGTCAGGAATTCTAGGGTGTTCTTGAGGAGAATGTTTATATAGATAGAATTATAGGAAGAAAGAATACATCTATTAATAGAATATAAATTAGGTATATGATTTCTCAAATCTAATTAGGGTATACGAATATGAATTAGGAATGAATTATGATTTTAATTGTTTCAATCAATTGAAGAAAGCAGATTGCTATGTATGAACCCTAATTTCGGGTAAAAATTACGGAAAAATTGGGGTAGCGAAGAAGAAAATTGAAAGACGTAGCGGAGTACCTGTGATTTCTTTCCATCCGTGACCCAAGGCATCGACAACTCAAGGAGAGCTTCGCCAATAATTAAACGCGTGTCATCCGATGTGTCATCAAAATATGAACCCTAACTTGCCACGTGTCAGAATTCTAGGCTACTCTCAAATATTAGGATTTTATTTTATTTTTATTTTTTACTTTTTTTTTTGAATTTTATTAATTGAGTAGAAATCTCATATTGCCCAAATTCCAAACCTTAAAATCTTAAATGAAACCTAATTCTTCTTGATCTCCAAATCCCCAATCAATTCCACATGGCGGCATCCTCCTCCCTCTCGGACTCTTCTTCGTCTTTAACCGAACGCGATAATCGGCGTCGCCGCCGTCACAGGGATCGGTCCGTGCTAAGTGTCCGGAATGAAAAAAAATCCCACACCAAAAGGCGCCACAAACGCCGCCGCTCGTCCTCGGAAAGCTGCAGCCATTCGTCTTACTCATCGTCTGTAGGCAGGTAATTTTTTAGCGAGCTTTGCCTTTATATGTTTCAATTAAACGTGTAAAAGCTCTATTTAACAAGTATAAATACTTGCAGTGTTGCTTAGCATGTTTCTGCACAAAAGTATTGTCTAACCTGTAATATCAGATTGGAACTGATATTTTTCGTGCTTTTTTTGGAGTACCTATACCATACATTTCGATGCCTTATTTTCAAGCGTAAGTGAATTTTTGAAAAGCAAGCAAGTAGTGACTCAAAATGAGTAGCGAGTTTCTCGAAAATGAGTACTCCGTATTTAGTTACTAGTAAATGAGTATTTAGTTACTCGTAAATGAGTACTCGCAGCGGATGTATAAGAAACACCGTACAACCGGTTGTACGGTATATATTGTGACATAACATTGATGGTCAAGCACTTAGGGACACTTGAAGTTCAATGGGAAAAAAGTAAATAGATTTATAACTAACCATAACACATGGAATGATGGGAATATAAATAAAAAGTATATTTTATAAACATTTACGGCAATAACAACTACAACAACAACACACTCCAAAGGTTGAACTTCTTTTTGCTCAAATTCTAAGATTTAAGAATTATTATCTTTTAATCATGCTGTCAACTCTGTCTTCTCAATGTACATTAGCAGATAATCATTCATGAAAATATGAAATGATATCCACTCATTCTTTAGGCTCCTTTTAAATTTTGTTTACTAAATTGTAGGATACAAGCATTACTTTATGCAATTACATGTAATAACTAATTTAGCTTTAAGTAGTCGTATTATTTATCACATTTACTTTCAACACTTATTCTATGATTCTGTTTATACATTTTTTTTAATTTGTGTTTTCTATTTTCTTAAGAGTATCTTGGCTGGTTATCCCTTTTCCCAAATTATTTTACCTAGTTGATTTTTCAGAGCATTTTTATTGCTAATAACACACACATACTAGTGTGAGTAGTGTCATGTGGTGATGGCGACACCTTATTTGTGCCATCGCCATATGATATTGGCCCATCGCAATGAATGTCATCATGCACCATGACAACTCGCGTTCTTTTTGAGTGCTAGATCGCTGGCTAGTTTTAAATCTTGGGAACTGGATAGAGTACTCGAAAGTTACTATATAGTGAGTACTCAACTTTTGCAACATCTGACACTTGGTTTTGTCTTGTGAATAAAATGCTTCATTACTAGTTTACTACTGAGCTTCATTATGAAGAATTCAAAACGTAGAAAAATTAATGAGACAAAAGAAGTGTTTGGCATTTATGTGGGATTCAAGTTTGGCAAATGAACTTCGGAAATGATTAATTCTATTCATGATTTAATTTTGGTAGTGTGTGATTCTTTGACACGAGGTCTTGCCTTTTCTATGATAAAAATATGTAGGGCTAATAAGAAGGCTTACTGTAGGTTGCTAATTTCAGTTAAACTGGTAAGAAAATCTTTGTTCTAGAATAAAAAATAACTGCATTATCAAAATCAAACATGTTGATAATATTCTTTTGTGCATGTTCTTGTCACAGCTCTTCAGATAGTGATCACGAATCATCGAAACGTCATACAAAACACAAACACAGAGATAGATATAGCAAGGTTGTGAACTGACATTTTGTAACTTTGGGAACATGATATATGCTTGTTTGGTGCTTCGTTGATTGATGACATTCTTGTATCATTTTTCAGAGAAAGGACAAGGATAAAGGGAAAAGCTACAAGTCTAAACATCAAAAGCATAAAGCAAAAGAGGTATGGCATCCCTTTGTTCCTTGACAATTCCAACATGGCATCATCAGTATTTCTTGTTTCGCGATTTACTAGCATTTCGTGAAAACTTATCATACGTTCACTTCTCTAGTTCACTCACATTGAGATATTCTTCACAATATGTATGTCTCCATGCATGCATATGTAATGTATGTATGTATGTTTGCATGGATGTATGCATGTGGCTGATAGAGTGCCACATATGTTGTTGTTTTATGTTATTAATATTTTTATCGGGCCAAATGTTTTATTTTAAATATGTTAGTTACTAAGTAGTATATAATGTGTAATTGGGCCTAAATTCTAGGAGTAGTTGCTAAGTATTGTGGTAGTGAGCCTAAAATCTAGGAATAGTTACCAGGTAATGTGGTATTGGACCTAAATTCTAGGGATTGGTAGTTATTTGGCTTCTATAAATGTTGTGGCTCATTATTTGTAAAAGTTATCCAGAAAGTAATTCCATATTTATTATTAGATATTCTCCTTGGCTTTATTACTTATATGAGTTTAAGATTCTTACTCATATTTTGATAAAGATTTTTCTTTTATTATTTTATGAAGTTAGATGCTGCTTTCATAAGTTAATAAAAACTTCCCTTCATTTATACTCCCTGCCACTCTTGAGTTCTATCATTTGGTATTATTAGATCCATAAGATCTTTATGAGTTCCTTGTGCAAAAATTCAATTTCTCCATTTTCTCTATACAATTTCTTATCTAGAAGTTATTCTCCTCATGAAGTACACAAGTTACTTAGCATTATAGCTCGCCTTGATGTCATTAGTTCAAAAGCTACAACATGTGAAGTACGAGGCAAGGGTTTTCAACATGTGCTAACTAGTAGTGGAGTCAAACCTCATCGATTTCATCTAGAGGTGAAAGGAAATAAAATTCAAAACAGAAGGGTAAGGTTACATTCGTTCGTAAGTCCAAACACCCTACCGTTGCAACCAACAACTTCAATTCCTCCCATCCAACAAGTAATTTCCTTTGTGGTGACAAGGAATTTCCATTGCAACTCTAAGTTAGAGCTTGACAGTTAATGTACACGTGTTTTCGTCATAGTTCTCAAGGCGCCAAGGCGAGGGACGGCGCCAGCAAACCACCAGGACACCTAGTTGACTAGGCAACCAGCCGACCACGTAAGCGACTAGTCATATATGATAAATATAATACCATTTACAAATATTACATAATTCATACTCCCTCCGTCCATAAAAAAGCTTCCCACTTTCTTTCTTGGGATGTCCATAAATTATCTTTCCATTTCTATTTTTGGAAAAAAAAGAGCAAAATGTCTCTTTTACCCTTGCTAAGCCATATTTCTCCTTCCTATCATTTTCTTTTTCGTCCCCTTCCGCCAGTATCCTCATCCCAAACATTTTCTTTTTCTTCTGCTTCCTCCATCTTTTTCCATCGCCTTTATCTTCCTCTTCCTCCATCTTTTTCCATCGCCTTTATCTTCCTCTATCGTTTTTCCATTGCATTCTTCCTCCTCTTTTGCCTTTATCTCTCACCTCTGCTATCTTTAAACCTTCTTTCATGTCCCCACTGCACCACCTTGTATTACACCAGAGTAGGAGTGCCGGATCTCGCTGGATCTTGCCGGAGCTGCACCACCTCTGTCGAATCGGGACAAAGCCGTCTTATCTCTGTTGGGATTTGATTGATTGCGCCTCATCCATGTTAGATCTGAACAACCCCAAATTCATCTCTACTAGATCTCCATTGAATCTAAACAACATTGGCTTTACCTCCTTCAGATTTACAACAATGACTCAGTGAGAATCATCACCAATGGACTGAAATTGGGAACTGGAGATAAACAAATAATGTAAAAGGACTGTCATGGTTGCTTTGTTATTTACGGAGGAACAAAATATGTAAAATTACTGTCATGGTTGTTTAGTCATTTGCGAAGGAGTATGTATATGAGTGAGGCGACTCATTTGTTGTTGAGGATGATCGATAAATTCGCACCTTTGTTCTGTATTTTTGATGGAGGGCGAAAAGAATTGCCATTGTTGTGTGGTTGATTGAGGGATGGGGGAAGGGTATTTTGGGGAAGTCAATGTCATTTTTAACTTGCATAAATTTGCGTAGCTGGTCAAACCGGGAAGTTATTTTATGGACGGAGGGGGTAAAATATTGTTATCCTAGAGTACAAACTTCATACTCAAGATACCTAATGTTTCTTTTAAACAAAATAATGTACACACATTTATTAATTCTACTTCTAGATCCATACCCTTTTTAACAAAACCGATTGTAATAGAATTGAACAATATTTGTTAAAAGTATTAATTAATTACTTAATTGATGAATAAAGATAAAGACGAAGAGGAGTTGGGCTGAAGAGTAAAGAGGACTATATCAAATACTCCGTATAAAGAAGAACCAATCAAGTAACTAAAGAAATTAAATGAGAGGTAAAGAAGAAGATAAATTTTTGAAATTTAAAAGAGGAAAAACGTAAAAAACTCATAATACGAAGTATAAAAACAAAAAAGGTTGGCTGCAGAAGACTAGGGTTAGTACTAGGTAACAGAACGCTGAATCTGGCAGCGACAAATGCCTGCACCATCAACGACACCGACGGTGGAAGATCAAAGATCTACTTCCCTCTGGCAAGGCGGCAACAGATCTATGTTCCAATGGTGGCGATGCACTCGGATTTTCAGATCTCAAATCCGGCGGCCATAGATTAGCCACCCTTCTCAGTCGCTATGCGTGCTTTGCCGACGGACTGGCCGCCTAAACGATGCCAAGGCAACACCAGGAAGAGATATAGGGAGGCGAATGACCATGACGTTCTTCTCTCAGTGTTTGGACACCTAGTCGCTGCCTAGGCGATGCCGTGTTAACTATGGTTGTCGTCACAGTGCCCCTCCACGACCCTGACTAGAACGTTTCTCGTTGATGGCAATCGGCTACGGAAATTCGAGTTGAGGTTGTTCCAATATGATGGTATGATTCATATTGGTTGTCGCTCTCAAACCTCTCCATTCTCACCTTCAGAATTGGCTATAGAAAGAGCCATGATTCTTATTCCAAGTGCAGATGAGAATGCCTCGAGTTTGGGGTTACAAACCTCTTATATATGTGTCAACACCATCCTGCAAAATTCTACAACATCAATGACAAAGCTTCATGAACTCTTGGATAGGGGCATCTGGCATCGATTTATCCATGAAGCTGTTATGTCATATTTGGACCCTTTTCGAAGCACCACTACTTTAATTGGATTTTTTCATCATATTGTCTTCCTACCACCTCTACCGAAACCTCCAGATATACAGAGAAGCTATTGTCTAGGTTTTGCCTTGAGGACAAGACAAATTTTGAAGGAGGGGATAATGATAGAGAGCCATTTGTGCTGTTGTTTTATGTTACTCCCTCCATCCAAAAGTTTCTTTCTCACTTTCCTTTTTGGGCCTCCCAAAAATTTTCTTCCTGTTTCCTATTTTGGAAAATCATTTTATATTAAATGACTTATTTCTAGACCTTCAATTCAATCCATGCGACCATGCCCTTTCTTCTTCTTTGACTTCACCATCGCCCTAACCTCTTTTTGTTTCTCGATTCCTTCCCACCCAACATTCCTCTTTTTTTCTGATTCCACCCCACGCCATCATATTCTTATTAGATCTACCAAGATCTAAGACTCAGCTTTTTCTTCTTCTTTGATTCCACCCACACCCCAACTTCCTCTTCTTCTCCAAATCAACCCCCCGCGCTCATGTTCTTCTTAGATGTACCAAGATCTAACTGTTGAAGATCTAAGCAACAACTTCGTCAAATGTAAACAGCCGCCTACCTTGGTGTTGCCATCATCCCACGCTGCCCTCACCATCTTCGTCATCCTCAAGATCTGGCCGGTGAAGATCTAACAACGTACGACGGAGATTTGATTGAGGTGCTTGATGGGGAGCAACATCGATGAAGATATGAAGCTGTAGACAGAATGAAATTGACGAAGGTGGCAAGGATGGAGGATAAAAGTGCCGAGAATGGAAAATCGTGGTGGCGAGGAAAGAAGTGACGAAGACAGAAGACAAGACAAGGATGACGGGGAAACATGGATGGGGCTGTGAAGAAAAGTAGAGGGGCATTATGGGAAAGTCAACACAATTTTTACTTTTTCTTAGAGTGCGTGTAAAATCAAATTGGGAAAGTTATTTTTTGGACGGGAATATTAATATTTTTTTACGTCCAATGTTTTATTTTAAGTATGATAGTTACTAAGTATTAAATAATGTGTAAGGGGCCTAAATTCTAGGACTAGTTGCTAAGTAATGTGGTAGTGAGTCTAAAGTCTAGGAATAGTTACTAGGTAATGTGGTAGTGGGCCTAAATTTTATGGATTAGTAGTTATTCGGCTTTTATAAATAATGACGCTCAATATTTGTAGGAGTTATCCATAAAGTTATTCAATACTTTCTCCATTTCAAAAAGATTGCCATGGTTACCATTTCGGCCTCTCGATAACTTTTGTTTGTTTACTCGTTTTTGGTGACCATTTGATAAAATAAAATATTCTTGTTGCATCTTGTTTTGTAGAACTTTTGATGTACTTTTGAACGGTGAAATTTAAACTTTTTATTTCTCTACCAATTTGTAAATAAAATGCTATTAAAAATGATATTTTGCATGTTGTTCGAAATGTGAGGAACATTTTGGGACAGAGGGAGTATTTATTATTGGAGATTCTCATTGGCTTTATTACCTATATGAGTTTAAGATTCTTCTCATATTTTGTTAAATATTTTTCTTTTCTTTTATATGAAGTCAGATGCTAATTTCATAATTTAATAAAAACTTTCCTTCATTTATTCTCCCTGCCACTCTTGAGTTCTATCAGTATCTATGTATGTATGTAAGACGGGTGGATGCATGCATCTATTTAAGATATTGTAGTTTTGCTCATACGGCTTCTTATGGTATTACTTGTTTCTTCTGAATTCTGAGTTTCTTATGGTAGTTTTACACCTTTGCATTTTATGGCTCTTTGAAATTGGAGCTGGGGTTCGACATGGCAACTGGTGCTTGATTGGCTCCCGTGTTTGTGTTTCTGGCTCATGGCTTATCATGTCACTACGAGCTGTTTTTAGAAACAGGAGGGATGTAGTAGTCCTGTACAGCTTTCTAAGGTTTGTGCTTAAGTAAATTCTGAACCTAATTCCTACCTTTAGTTCCCTTCCTGGTTTTTATTGACTCGTTTAAGCAGTTTTTGAGCCGTGACAAGGATGATGGTGCCCGGCGCAGTGCTGTTTCAGGCAAGAAGGTTAGCAATTTACCCTCTACATTGTTTTAATTTTTTTTTAATCGATGATGTTGTTTCTACCAAGAAGGTAACTAATCTGTAATATAATTTTTATTTAATTGATGATCAACGTTTGTCCAATTTGTGTGCAAAATGTCAAACTGGACAAACTGTTATAGAGGTAACACATTATTAGAAAATTAAACAAATAAAAATATATTTTAGAATTGAAATATACTTCTATCAGAAGGTATAAAATTTTAAACTGTGTATGAACTCGTGCGAAGAATGATGTTAAATTTAGTGGATCATTATTTTCATTTAGTATATTCTCACCTATTTATAGACAAATTAATGACACTGAATTTCTTCTCTCCAACCCTGACATACTCCGGAGTTGGCAGCATTGATCATGTGCATAGTCAATGTTAAATCACTTTAAAAACAGAAACCTTGTTCTCCCCAAGAAAATGGAATTTTGTCAATATCATGGTTTCCAACTTTCAGATTCTCTTGAAGCTTGAGAAAACAAAGGAAGACAAGGTAGCAGAGAACAAAAGAAATGAATTGCTCAAGTTCTTGAATGCAAGTTACGACTGATTGTCCGCGGTGATTTGATGTTCATCTGTTTCTTTTTGTGGGTGGAGAGATTGCTTCAACTCTTGGGTGATTCTCAGGGTCTTTCCCTTGATAGGGTCAAATCATTTACTTACTGCATGGTAAAACCATTTGCTGCCTTAAGGTTTCATCACTCTCTTCTGCTTGTCTGTTTCATGAAATGTGGCATGTTTAGCTACTCGTAGTTTATAACGATGCGGATTACATTCGTCGGTATTGTGGGTTTATGGCCCCCTTAGTTTGAGTTTATGAAAACATCATTTGGTTTTGTTTTTTAATGAGGGTGATATAAACGTGTGGTCCTCAAACTGGAAAAAAGCTTTAGATAAACAAACTAAGGTTAAAGAAAAACACACTTTATAATTTTGTATCACAAACTTGGGATGTTTACATATCCTTGTTTTAGGATTGTTGTTACTAGAGTGATATATACTCCTTAGCACACTTCTTCCGTTCCAATTTATAGTGCATGTTTATTATTCACAGAGTCAAACTTTATTTACTTTCTTTCTTTATTTTTGTTAGTAATTTGATAAAATAAAGTACTGTTGTCATTATTAGTTTTGTAGATTTTTTGATGTAGTATCTTAATATGTAATTTTTATTTTTTAATTCTATACCATTTGTCATATAAAATGATTTGAAAATAATTTTAGTCAAACATCGTAAATCGAAACAAATACTATAAATTGGGATGAAGGGAGTAATATTCTTTTAGCTCTATCGACTTTTGATGTTTTATGTAATTGTGTTGAACTCTTTCTAATTTACTCTCATCGTCCATCCGATTTTACATCGTGTATTTTTCATTTCAATTCATCCCTAATAACTATTCTTTTCTTTTTATTAGAAATAGTATGATGTTCGTTTTGTCTCCTCAATCTGTACAAGATAAAAATATGCCGAGGTAAACTAGATAGTGTTAAAGGAGACGGGTGAGTACAAGGTAAGGAACCACGTTGTCAATTATGTCCTTTAGGAAAGAACGCCCTTACTTTTTAAAATAGAGAATAACTTGAGTATATTCTAAGGAAAATTATTTGAAATAATCTAATTTTAACAAGTCTTTCAAAAATATTGCACCTTTCATTGTGATGCCTAATAAGCCGTTTTTACTGGTGTGTGTGTGTGTGTGTTTTGGGTCATTGTTAAGGACCTAACGGTTAATTTAACAATTTGAAAAGAAATGGCTTAATTGGGTAACAAAATGAAAAGTAGGACTTTTTTGAAAAATTAGTTAAAAATGAAAAGTATGACTTTTTTTGGCAGACTAGTTAAAGGTGAACTTTTCACTTTTTTTGAAAAATTATTTAGGCCATGTTATCTTCACCTGATCTGATTAAAATATGTTCTAATATAGTTTGATCTGAATGTAGTTATATTTAAAATTATTTTTAATTTGATTTGATCGATTTGATTACATTCTATTGAGACAAAATAATACGCTTAAAGCTGACTATTGTTGCTATTATAATGTAGTATCTATTCATATATTTTGTATATTTTTTCAACTCATTGACACACATAGAGTCAATCCATGGGGTTCGAACTTGGGCGAACTTCTCATCCAGAATTAGAGGTGGGGGGGGGGGGGGGGNCCGGCGACGAGCTATGCTGACTGGTGTTGGTGATCGCGAATCTAATTGTCAAGATCGGTGCCCCCTGCCCCCAATGACGACATTTTGATTTCAAAAAGAAAAATGTTTTAAGTGACACCACTCGTCCTAGGGATTTAAATACGATGTAATTTTGTACCGTATCTCGTTTACGGAGCAATTTTGATACAAATGAAATTTTTATTGATGTCAACAAAGCAATGTTTATCCGCTAAATTTAATATCTTATACTCTGTAATAATCACACTTTGGTTTGCTTAAGGGGCTGTTTGGCAACTTCTGAATAGGTAAGTGCTGAATCAGTAAGAGGTCTGAACCATTAAGTGCTGAAGGAGTAAGAGGTCTAAACCATTAAGAGCTAGTATATTGCATAACTATTCAAAGGCAAATGTCTAATCAATTCAGACAAGAGATCTTAACCATTCAGATTCTGTATAATACTTAACCATTCAGAGGCAAATCTCTTAACCATTCAGACATCTGAACCATTAAGAGGGTGAAACAAACAGTCTGAACCATTAAGTGCTGAACTATTCAGACATCTGAACCATTAAGAGGCTGAAACAAACAGCCCCTAAGTCTTCTAAGACTAAAATAGGACCGGAGTGTAATGGATGTGTGGTGTTGGAGTATATATTGGCAGTGTGTTAGAAAAGTGAGGACAATGTAATATATTAATAATGTGATCAGATGGTGATCCGTGGCGACCACTCTGGTGGCCGGTGGCGGCGGATGGCAGTGTGATGGTGATAGTGTAACAGTTACAATGTTACAATGTGGTGGGTGTGATAGTGTAAAATGGCAATGCAAACTTCTATTTTTGTCTTATAAGACTTATGACTCTTATTTTAGTATTTTCATAGTTTTTTTACTTTTGTCTAAGATGTTCTCCCGTTGAATAATGTAAATCATTTGGAGAGTGAGAGAGTAAGGATGCGTCCGTTCGTCTTATTTGATTTGATCTGATATTTTGTAGATCTGATCTGGTCTGATTACAGATGTAATTAAAGCTCATTTTGATATGATCTAATCCAATGTGATTATAATAAAAATAAATAATAAATGGAAAACTATCTAAATTGAATGATATTTTTTTAAAAAAAAAAAATAGATCCACATTTTAATGCGGAGTAATTGGCTTTCATAAAATGATCTTACAGAGTATGTCTATACGTTTTTGTCTGCACTGCCAATCCGCCGCCCTTCCGCCACCATTCTACGGAGTATCTGATATCTCGCTGAAGCAACAATGTCGGCAAGGGTATTGACGGTGGCGTTGGACGGGAGCGGAGACTTTCTCACGGTGCAGGACGCTATCGACGTCGTTCCTCTGGGAAACTCGTGCCGCTGCGTGATTCGGGTGGCTCCGGGCATCTACAGGCAGCCTGTTTACATCCCCAAGACCAAAAACCTAATAACCATAGCTGGTATCCGGCCAGAAGACACTGTTCTGAGCTGGAATAACACAGCCGCCAACATCGATCACCACCAGGTCCCGTCCCCTTGTGTTGATATTTTTGGCAATGTATTTGTACGTGCCGGTGGATCTATGAAGTATTCATTTTTTGATTTTGGTGAGATTAATTGTATTTAGCCGTCAAGGGTAATTGGAACTGGCACATTTGGGTGTGGGAGCACAATAGTGGAAGGAGAAGATTTTATTGCTGAGAATATCACATTTGAAAACTTTGCTCCTGAGGTGACATTTCTTTCCTCCCAATTGTAATAGTCTTTTTGGCAGATGCTCTTAAAGTTCTTACCTAATGCCACCTTTGTCCAGATTTAGTTGTCTACTTTCTAAAATACCTCAAATTTAAGAAATGAAAGTAAAATAACAAAAACATCCTTAAGATCAACTTATCTTCATTGATGGCAAGAATGCTAATATGCCAATTACGGGTATTTTTTATAACACTCAATAATTTGTTTACTGATTATGGTATGTGGACAATTAATTTCGTATATTCTAAAAAAGAAAAGTGGATAACTAAATTTGTATGAAAGGAGTACATTAAAATTATGTTCCCTAAATATTATGAGCTCTAGGTAATAAAAGTAATGCACTCCAGAAATTTGCAAACAGGGATCAGGGCAAGCAGTGGCAATCAGAGTGACTGCAGATAGATGTGCTTTTTATAATTGCAGATTTCTTGGGTGGCAGGTATGTCGTTACTATACTGCTGCTGTTAGTGTAGAAATCTATGGGAACTGCATAGCTGCTAGCAATGAAACTTAATTTGAATTTTGGGTTTTATGATTTGTGCGCATACGGATATTGGGCTGTGAAATCTCTTTTCTGGCTAAAACTTCTACAGGACACTTTGTATCTACACTATGGGAAACAA